AATGTTTTCGTGGGTTGTGACCGTCGGAAAACTATTCAAAAAGGTCTTGGAGGAGAGTTTTATGTCTGCTGATGATTCGAAGGCAACGGTTAGACTGTTCAAAATTGGAAAGGATTCTTTTGTTATGGCTCATGAGCTGCTCCAATCAATGAAAAACAAGAATATGGATGTATCGGAGTTTGAGGAGGAAGTTCTCAAAATGACGAATGTGGCCACATTCAATTTCCGAGAAGTCGCTCAAAAAGTGAAGATTGGAGACATGAAGAACATTGAGGTAAGACTTAAAACAACTTTATTTTTTAATTTCCTCTTTTTTTCAGTTCATTCGAATTAACACCAGAGAATCCAATATCACTCCCATCCCAATCCCAGCGCCCGATGGAACTTATTGCGTCCCTGCCACCGATGCTCTCTACGATCTAATCAGCGACATTACTATGTTCAAGAAAGTGTTTCAAAGAATCAATCGAAGCCAATTTGAGCATATTAAAAACTTTTTTGAGTCTGTGGAACACATTTTCCATCACAATGGAGGTGACTATTTTATCAGTATGGAGGATGTGGAATGGGTCAAAGCAAAGTGGGAGAAGACTTATGAAGAGAACTTGAAGTCGTCAGTAGCCGTCAAACATATTCGGAAGGTTCGAAAAGGAGGATTCACAGAAGATGATTTGGATAAAGAACTCGAGTATCTGAATCTCTACAACTGTTTGCCGGAAATGAAGCGGGAAGTTAAATGGGCGTACAAGTTAGTCACCAAAGAGAGAAATTCTACTCTGAAGCTTGAAGATATGCACTCCGCCGTCTTTCAATGCCAAATGACGATTCTCCTGGAAAACCTTCCCAATGTTTACCAGTTTTTGCACAGCCAAAAGATGTGCATGAAGTGGGTGCCATATGTGGCATGTGTATTTTGTGAGAAGCCGAGATTGAAAACGCTGCTGAACAAGTCGTCGCGAACCGAAGAAGAGGAACAGGAGTTTATGGAATTGACTGATGTCTCCGTAGTAGCACCACCAGAAAAAACCAACGTCATCGAGGAGGATAAGGAACAAGAAGTTTCATCTGCTGTTCCGAAGAAGAAACGGTCTAGAAAGGCGAAGAAATCTGAAGAAGCCTCCAGCCCAAATCCCTTGGATTCTCCTTCCACCCCAGAACCCGAAATGCCAGAAGCATCCAAGGAATCGCAATCATGTCCAAAGTGCTCTAGAGCTAGCCATTTCGCTGATGTCGCAAATGAGAAGCTGAGAGTTTCCAAAGTCGAGTGTAAGCATCTAAAGAAAGAGTTGGCAAATGCTGAGTTAGAAGTCGAAGTTCAGAAGCAGAAAGGAATGGACAAAGATGAAAGAATCAGAATTCTAGAAGAACTTTTGAAATCCAAAGATGATCTAATCGAAAGACAGAACATGGATCTCCTTGCAAAGCAAGACACGATTATGAACCTTGAGATGGAGGTGGAATCTAATTACAACACCATTCAAGAGTACTCAACAACCATTAAGAATCTTGGAAAATCTCTCGCAGAGAAGGACAGCGAATAAAATATTTGGAATCTGAGAAACAATCGGAAATCAGAATCATGGAACCAATTAGAAGTGACGAGGAGACGGAGAAAGTCAGAGATGTGCTCTTCAAACTTCTCGAGATCCAAGGAACTCTTCGAAGCGGGAACCCAGTTGGAAAATGCAGAGAACTTGCTCAACGAATCTGTATGAAGGCTCACAACAAGGAAATCGAAGATGCCACTAGAATTGAAGCAATTAAATTTTGCGAGAAGGCTAAAATCTACATTCAAGCAGTCAACACCCAGTTGGAGATGATCCGTGGAAGCCGACTAGTCAAACCAGATGAGATTCCAGAACTTCCAGAGTTCCCAGCTCTCTCCAGAGGATTCTTGAAGACCTACGAAGACATCTTCAAGTCAGAAGCTCCAAAGATTTGCCAACCTCTTCTGAAGACTCCAGAAGTGAAACCAGGAGAGCTTGCTGACACTGATTGCTTGATCTGCATCGAGGAAATGGAATCGGAGGAAGGAACTATCAAATGCGAGTGCTGTAAACGGAGATATCATACCGAGTGTGCTCAAGAATGGTTCAAGACAAAGAGAACGTGTCCTGCATGCAGTTCAGCCCTTCTGGATGATTCCGAATTTCCAACATTGGGTCAAAGATGGTAATTAATAATGTTTGCTCTTGTTCTTGTTTTTGTTTCTTGTCATTTTTTGAAGTTAAAAAAAACATTATAAAATTAATATAAAATTAAAATTGTGTTTTGTTCTTTAGCCGAAAATCGAGTCATTAACTTTGACCGATTCGGTTTTCCCAGATTCTTCTTATGAGAATTTGATAGAACATTTGAATAGCCCCAAACCATGTCAATACCTTTCGATTTGAGCCACAACAACCCGAAATGCGCCTAATGGTACTTTAGAAAATCTAATATCGATTGAACTTCTTCAAAAAATCGGAAATCTTGAATCAAATCCAAATTTAATTACGGTAACTTTCAGTTTTAAAGTCTTCTCGGTGCTCGTGTCTTGAAAAATTCAAGCCGTGATTTCTTATCTTCGTACGGATTCCTGAAGTTAGAAGCTCTCCAGGTGATGAATTTCGATTCAGTGCGAAAAGTTATAGATGAGCTCAATGTTATGAGTTTGTGTTTATTGGAAAGCCCTGGACGAGGTACTTCGTCCTTTGAGGATGAAAAAACCTTTTGAAGAGAGACCGTGTTTCAGGAATAATTTCATTCTGAAATGTCACAGCTATTGAAACCTATGCAATTGAATGTGTATTCTGAAAAACTTGTTCATAGGTTTTGGAATTTTCTAATCTCTATGAATTGCTATTGAATAAATAAAGTTAAAAAAACTGGGGAATCCTCATTTTCAAACGTTCCAGATTATAGTGTTTCCCAAACCAAAAAGTTTCCCAGGAGCTCTCAACATTTATAACATTGACTCATTCCCATAAGCACAGGTGATTCGCAAACAATCCGTTACGGACGCTCAGCGTTCGCGCGCGTTTGAAATAGGAACCGCATACGGACCGCACGCGACCCGTTTTCAGAAAACCACAGCACATTATTTCGTATTCCTCCGTATTCTATCCGTTCGCGAACTCCGTATCCGATCCAATTGCGAATGATGAACAAACGGATACGTTCGCGAACTCAGATTCGCGAAACTGTCCGTAACGGACCCGTAACAGATAGAAAACCTAGTGGACACCGAAACGGATCCGTCCGCATTTTAACTGTGATGTCTACTTTATCGTCTTTACATACCCTGTTAGATGACCACTAATTATTAACTTTCTGTATACGTGTCAATCAAAACCGTCTGCACCTCTCAGGACATACGACCCACCTGGACTCAGAACAAGCTCCGCCCCTTTTGGATGTGATGGTACGGAACGCTTCTCTTCATTCATTCTTACTCTGTTTCAGTCACTCAGACGGTGACTAGCTCTTCGCTCTTGCCTTTCGTGTTTCCTCCAGCACCTTTTCCTTTATTTGCTATACCTGACTTTAGTTTAAAAAATCTCGGTGACATTATAACAAACACTTCATCAGTTTGCGCATTTTTTATATCTCTCATATGTATCGAGAAAATTAATTAGCTCAAATGTTTTTATCATGTCAAACTCTTTCGGACCATACCAGCGTACCTATGCGATTTTTTGAACTTAAAATATTTATAGTTTCCGTTCTCTAATTTTTGAGGTTTAACTTTTTTCTGAAATCTCGAGATATCATTCAAAATTATATCCAAAACGACCCCTCTCCTAATTTTCTTTTCGTTCCCAAATTTTCAAATCCTTCAAGCATTCTAATTGCAGTTAGCAATTTTGGCTGTCCGCTTCATTTTCCTACCGTACCCCATAACCACATACATTTTGAAGCACGTCATCTTAATTTTTGAGAGAAATAGCCTGTTGATTTTATTAATTGCCCGCGGTCTGTCCGGGGTATCAGGTTCCTGTGATAAAATAGAAGAAAATCAACAAGAAATGTAACAAAATCGGTTTATTATGAACAAGTTAGAAAGAAACAACAAATAAAAGCTTAGCATTCAAGCAAACTCACTTGAAATCCTTAAAAGAGTATCTAGAACAACCGCGAGCCAAATCCAAGCTCGCAATCACTCAAAACTAAATTCAAACTGTGCGCGCGCCGAGCGGGATAGCGGAGTGTCGTTGCGTGGTTAGAGGGAACCTTTAGAAGGGGTTGGAGGGTAGATGCACCAGGCAACTTATTGTTAAATTCAGTAGACCACTTTTGATACATCTCATGTAAACCTTAAAAAATTGGGTCACACATAGTAGGACCCTTCATACTGTAGTTTGCCAGAAGCACTTACATTATAGTCCATCTTTTGTCACATACTCCTCCACCTTCCAAGTTTTATGATTGGCATTCATATCCCATGTGAAGGTACTGAGTATCCCCACCTGTTCTTCTTATTGTGTCTTTCATTCACTCGTCATTAACGCTCTTCTCCTCCCTTTACTTCATTCATATTACCTCTTTTGTCCTCTCCTAATTTTTCCCAATTAATAATTTCTAATTTTCAGATCTTAACTCAGCAAACAATGCTTACTATTGCCAGCAAAGATATGGTGCTATCGTCGGAGAATGTGAAGAAGCTAGTGAAGCGCTGTGTTCCAAACGAGGTTAGTTTTTGAAACCAATTCTCGGCTCATATGATCCAGAGGTTTTAAAGCTCTAGCACTTTTGAACACAACTTGTTAATTTTAAGTTCCATCCTAAACTGTACCTAATTCTCAGCTCATCCCCGTCGACTGGAAATGCGACCAATCAGATATTCGCTCAAACCTCGAGTCTCTTCTGGAATGCTCCCGTGGCCTATTAGGGATGTTCGAGAACGTCAATGATCTTTTCCAAACACTTGCCAACTTCCTCACTGTTCCTGGATGTGCGACTATGCTTCAATTCGATGGGGACTACTCGACCTTACCTGCAACACACATGAGTATCAAAGGAGTGCATTATATGTACAAGATGGATGTCCTCGAACTTATTTCTCTTGCTGTTCCATGTCCATTCGAAGGCTGGCAAGCTGAACTGGTTCGATTGGCAGTGAAGAGTCGTCTGAAGTGTTTCGAAGCCGAATGGAAATCCCGATTCAACTCTCATTGCGAGATGATTAAAGTGGACCTTAAAGTGCTGAAAATGTTTGCTGAGAATCTGCATGAGTGCTCGATAGCGTTATTCAAAAACACTGAATTGTGTGTGCCTCCTCTGCCGGATTTTTCCAACCCAACGATCGAAGTCGAGTCTACAGATGGATGCTATGAAATTTTGAAATCTTTCGATGAAAAATATCCAATTGCAAAGAACAAGACTTTTTACGCACGAATGTTCTCCTGGATTGCAACCGTTGGAAAACTATTCAAAAAGGTCTTGGAGGAGAGTTTTATGTCTGCTGATGATTCGAAGGCAACGGTCAGACTGTTCAAGATCGGAAAGAATTCCTATGTTATGGCACATGAACTACTTCAATCGATGAGAAATAAGAATATGGATGTATCGGAATTTGAGGGGGAAGTTCTTAAAATGAGGAATTTGGCCACATTCAATTTCCGAGAGGTCGCTCAAAAAGTGAAGATTGGAGACATGAAGAACATTGAGGTAAAAATTATAAAATACGTTCTTTCCTAATTTATTTTTTTCAGTTCATTGGAATCAATGGCAAAGTATCCGTTACATCTATCCCACTCCCAGCTCCAGATGGAACTTATTGTGTGCCTGCCACTGACGCTCTCTACGATCTGATCAGCGATATTATTGTGGCTAAGAAAGTGTTGCAAAGAATCAATCGAAGCCAATTTGAGCATATTATAAACTTTTTTGAGTCTGTGGAACACATTTTCCGTCACAATGGAGGTGACTATTTTATCAGCATGGAGGATGTTGAATGGGTCAAAGCAAAGTGGGAGAAGACTTATGAAGAGAATTTGAAGTCGTCAGTAGCCGTCAAACATATTCGGAAGGTTCGAAAAGGAGGATTCACAGAAGATGATTTGGATAAAGAACTCGAGTATCTGAATCTCTACAACTGTTTGCCGGAAATGAAGCGGGAAGTTAAATGGGCGTACAAGTTAGTCACCAAAGAGAGAAATTCTACTCTGAAGCTTGAAGATATGCACTCCGCCGTCTTTCAATGCCAAATGACGATTCTCCTGGAAAACCTTCCCAATGTTTACCAGTTTTTGCACAGCCAAAAGATGTGCATGAAGTGGGTGTCATATGTGAGATGTGTATTTTGTGAGAAGCCGAGATTGGAAACGCTGCTGAACAAGTCGTCGCGAACCGAAGAAGAGGAACAGGAGCTGATGGAAATGACTACGGTTTCTTTGGTACCACCGTCACCAAAGGAATCCGATGTTGTCGTGGAGGAAAAGAATCAAGAAGTTCTATCCGATATTCCAAAGAAAAAGCGGTCCAGAAAGGCAAAGAAGTCTGAAGAATCCTCCAGCCCAACTCCTTCGGATTCCCCTTCCTCTCCAGAACTCGAAATGCCAGAATCCTCCAAGGAATCCCAATCTTGTCTGAAGTGCTCTAGGGCAAGCCATTTTGCTGATGTGGCTAATGAGAAGCTGAGAGTATCGAAGGTCGAGTGTAAGCATCTGAAGAAGGAGTTGGCAAATGTAGAGTTGGAAGTCGAGGTTCAGAAGCAGAAAGGACTGGATAAAGATGAAAGAATCAGAATTCTAGAAAAACTTCTGAAATCCAAGGATGATATCATCGAAAGACAAAACATGGATCTTCTTCAGAAACAGGATGTGATCATGAATCTTGAGATGGAAGTGGAATCTAAGGAAATCATCATTCAAGAGAAGTCAACCACCATTGAGAATCTTGAAAAATCTCTTAAGAGGAAGGACTATAGAATCAACGAACTGGAAGCTCCACAATCATCAGAATTCAGAATCATGGAACCAACTAGAAGTGACGAGGAAACGGAGAAAGTCAGAGATGTGCTCTTCAAACTTCTTGAGATCCAAGGAACCCTTCGAAGCGGGAACCCAGTTGGAAAATGCAGAGAACTTGCTCAACGAATCTGTATGAAGGCTCACAACAAGGAAATCGAAGATGCCACTAGAATTGAAGCAATTAAATTTTGCGAGAAGGCTAAAATCTACATTCAAACACCCAGTTGGAGATGATCCGTGGAAGCCGACTAGTCAAACCAGATGAGATTCCAGAACTTCCAGAGTTCCCAGCTCTCTCCAGAGGATTCTTGAAGACCTACGAAGACATCTTCAAGTCAGAAGCTCCAAAAATTTGTCAATCGCTGCTGAAGACTCCAGAAGTGAAACCAGGAGAACTTGCTGACACCGACTGCTTGATCTGCATCGAGGAAATGGAATCAGAAGAAGGAACCATCAAATGCGAGTGCTGTAAACGGAGATATCATACCGAGTGCGCTCAAGAATGGTTCAAGACAAAGAGAACGTGTCCTGCATGCAGTTCAGCCCTTCTGGATGATTCCGAATTTCCAACATTGGGTCAAAGATGATGATTAATAATTGTTTGCTCTTGTTCTTGTTTTTGTTTCTTGTCATTTTTTGAAGTTTAAAAAAAGACAATAAAATTAATATAAAATTAAAGTGGTGTTCATTTCTTTTGTAGCTGAAATGGTGTTATCAACATCGACCAATCAATTCTTAGCCTGTAAAAAAATCAAAATGAATTTGATTATATCCTTGTGAAGGATATGACAAGAGCACAAACTACAATTACAAGATTTATTCAAAAAATACCAATTCTCGATTTGCTTCATCTGGTAAAAACTTGAACGAAATTGAAGAGGGTCGATTTTGAGCAAATTTCCGTTGCCTACGTGGCGAAACTTCATTTTTCGTTTTGGGGTAAAACTGAGTTTGGACCAAGGATATTCAATCTCCAACAATTATTTTCTAGTATTTTTCTGCGCGTAAGATCTGAATCGAGTGTTTTCTTGTTTTGAAAGCTGGAAGAAAACGAGTTAACTCGACTATATAAAATATGAATGCATGAAAACAAGTTTGAATTTTTCTGTACAGAACCATTTTCGGTTCTAACAAAGAATGTGTCGTAATTAATTTTGCACCTGTTTCTGCTGAAAACAAACTATTTGACTCATTTTGAGACTTCTTCTTTTTTTCCTACCAAAAAAAAGAAAAAAGTCATTTTGTTTTCCAATTTCATTTTTTTTTCCGAATTTCAGATGATTTCTGAACTTCAAAATTATTACTCCACTAATTACTCAATTTGCAATTTATCTTATAATTACCTTGCCACGTGGAAAGGTCTAGCATATCCCAGTCATTCGATTCAAGTTATAGCGGCTCCAATCCAAATTTTTACTTTTTTTATTATTTTGAAAAAAAACACCTACATTTATTAAAACTATGAAATGGCCGTTGTTAATCAATCATTTTTGATAGGTTTTCGGATTTAAATTATTGATAAAAAAACACATTTTTCATTTCTATCTTGTTCGATTTTACCAATTGTATTTTATCGACTCCATATGTATTTCTACCAACACTCTCATTTTTTGGTGTAGGAATTTTGAGTTCTATTGGATTACCGCATACCCCACAATTAGCCATTGTTTTTTGTCAGTTTTGTGTGAGTTGATTTGTCTTTTTTTTCCATATTTGCATCGGGCCGTGCCGAGACGGGCTTTTTTCAGAATTTTCAAGGCAAGGCCTGGCTCGTCTCGGCCCGGATTTTCGGAAAAATATTTTCTGTCTTTCAACAGATTTTTGGGGTCAACAGAAAAAAAAGAACGATTTTTCTGACAAGAAGAAACATTTTCGAAATAAGAGTGTTCATAAAAAATAGATCTTTCACAAAAAAGTGTAAAAAAATTCTGAATTTTCAAAATTTTTTCAAATTCGGAAAACCCGGGTCCGCCGGGCCGGGCCGGGCCGGACCCTGGAAATCTTTGGCCCGGCCTGGCCCTTGTTTTGCAAGTATGGTTTTTTCGTCTTCTTCTCTTTTCTAGGTTTCGTTAGCTCATACCCTTACTTATTTGAGAGCAGGAGCAATGCTCTGAGAAATAATCGATTTCGGATGACAAGGAAATGCACTCGAACTTTTTACCATGTTTTTTTTTCTAGCTACAAATCTCACCTTTTTATTATTCATGTTCTTCACGGCAACAGAAGAGTCGTAAAAATCGGAAGCTCTCAAAATTGATCCATGTTTCCAGTTTTGTTTCCAGAGTTCCATGTTTCCAGAGTTCCATGTTTCCAGAGTTCCATGTTTCCAGAGTTTTTCCAGTTTTCTCTTGTATTTTTCATTCCCGATCCACTAATCAGAAACGTTTGCTTGTTTGTTTGGATTCCTGCAATTCTATTGCTAACATGTGGAAACATTGGATTTCACTTGTCGTGTACAGTATACTATTTGTTCGTAGCTCCTCCTTCAAGTTGTATTTCTGCTGGAACTCGCCAAGCACAACGGTATTTTTTGGTTGGTATCATGATTCAAACTTCAATTCCATCATTAACTATCATTATCCCTCCACTTGTCTTAATCGTTCAAGTTTTGACTGATAGTTACACTCACGGCCTTATGAATTTGAGAATGATATTGTTTGGACTAAACGGATTGATTGAAAGTTTAGCAATTCTTTTGGTTTATCACCCTTATCGGAATGCTGTAAAATACACTCTGAATTTTGAAAAATGGAAAGGTGAGAAAAACGATTTCATTGTAATTTTCATAAGTTTTCAGAGTCCAAAATTCAAACTGTTCCTGCTCAAGAAGTTTATGCAAGTTCTATTAGGAAGGAAGTATCAAGTCATTTGGAAGGAAGTATCAAGTCGCAAAAACGTTATAAATCAGCATTTTTGAAATCGGAATTCTTTGTAACATTCATTCTCACCAACTTTAGTTGTTGAATTGTCCATATACATATGTACTTTTCTAGCGCCCAAATAATTTTTTCCAGCATACAGATTTGTCGTTGTATTTTTTTCTATGTCTTGCTGTTTCATTTTTTGTGTGATAGTCTATAAATCCTATGTCGTATCTGGAATCTATGAAATCAAATTCTTCGAATTTTCGAGAACTTCGTGTTCACATTTTCTGGTTTTCTGGTTTCTATAAGTTGCTAATGAAGTTGTGAGAAAAATGTATGCTGAATCCTTATTTTCAGACATCCTGTACAATATTTTAAAAAACCGAATTTCCCAGATTATAATAATTCCAAAACACGACGATATGATATCAGACTCCGCCCTTTTTGGACTTAAAGTTACACAACAAATCTGTATGCAAGTCAGAAGCTCCAAAAATTTGCCATTCTCTTTTGAAAGTTTTTGAGAGCTTGCTAATACTGATTGCGAGGAAGGAACTATCAAATGCGAGTGCTGTAAACGGAGATATCATACCGAGTGTGATCAAGAGTGGTTCAAGACAAAGAGAACGTGTCCAGCATGCATTTAAGCGCTTTTGGATGATTCCGAATTTCCAACATTGGATCAAAGATGATAATCAATGATTATTTGCTCTTGTAATTGTTTTTGTTTTTTGTCATTTTTGAAGTTTAAAAAACACAGTAAAAATAATGCAAGTCTAAAATTGTGTTTTATTCCTCGACCAATTCTTAGCCTTTGGAAAAATCAAAATGAATGTTTTCCAGGGGGAGTAATATGATATAAAAATTGCTGACATATGAATCACTCTTGATTGAAAATTGCAATCTTTGGACAAACAAAATCGGAGTCCAATGTAAGAAACTCTTATATCAATAAAAGAACTGAAAATCAAAAAGTTCTAGATTTCGATTTCCTGACTTGGAACACTTTCGACTCGGTTTGCCCCGATCCTTTGATCTGAAAAATTAAAATAACACTTTAAAAGGTCCTTTTAAATGGTCTCAAGTCAATACCTTTCGATTTGAGCCACAACAACACAGAATGCGTTTTACAGTATCTCGATATTGTGAAGACATCCAGTAGCAAACGAAGAAATGGGATAAGGCATTCAAAGATCGAAAGTTAAGGAGAACGTGATCAGCGACCGAATATAAAAGGCTGTAAAAATTCCCGTTTCTTTTTGGATTCTTCTCTAATGCATACTGTGTCCTATCATTAGCATATCGTGCATAGACGATGTTTACAAAGTTGGAAACTCCCGCCAAACCTTCAGACATCATGAAGCTAAAAGTCATGAGAAGTATAAGTTTTGTTGTGTTGTCCGGATTCTCCTTTTCCGATGAGTTCATTCGTAATCTGCGTTTTCTGATTTTGATGAGTTCCACGATCAGAAATATAGCTAGGAATGGGTATAGTACGGCAGGAACTATACGAACCAGATATTCGAAGTCTTCTCGTTTCTGCATTATATCATATTTTTTCAGCGGGTAAGCCAATACTGAACCGTTGGGTGCTTGCATTTGGTAAATGTATAAACAACTGGAAGTATATTTTGTTCACTTTAAATGATGGGACAAAAAAAAATATGGTAGTTTTGTACAAGAGCTTCTTCATGGACATCTTAACTTGCAAGCTTCCTTTTCCAAGGTCCCCTTAACCTTTTGGGAACCACATTCGGTATCTGATTCTTTTGGGGTTCCCATTCGGTAACTTTTTTTACAGGGGTCTTTGTTTTCAGAGTCTCTTAAACAATTTTGAGGTTCCTTTTTTTAGTGTCGCTTACATTTTAAGACTCTCTTTCAAATAGTTAGCAGGTTCCTTCAAATTTCTCGACGGCTTCCGTGGATCCTTTTCAAGCTCCCTATTTTTATTTTTATTGTAAGTTTCTCTAACAAAACCTTGAAAAACTTTTGGGAACTCAGTTGACTGCCTAATTTTTTAATGATCCTTTAAACTTTTCGGGGACCCCATCTTCTTCATTTTTACAGGACCACTGAATAACCTTACAAAACAGCCCAATAACTTCCCACAACTTCATTATTGGCAAAATCTTACTCGGGGAAAGTATGATCTGGAAACCATAACACTTCCACATAAAAATAATGCCAAGAATAATAAACAAACCAAAAGAAACCAACTATCAGAACCACCAACGTTGCGGTCATGGGTTTTGCTAATTTTTGTATCCGATTGCTCATCGGGAACGCAACACTCAACGTGCGAATCGCCGCTATAAAAATGGAAAGCCAAATAGATATTGGTCTTGTTGCGGCGGTTAGCAAATTTTTAACTGATGTCGAAATCTCTACTAGCATATAATCCAGAGATAAACATTGATAAGGAGAAGTATCCGATAATAAGTCAAAGTAGTTTGAAAGTTCTTGAAACCAAAATCGTTCTATGCCGTGATCATAAATCGAGATGACGAATCCGAAGATGTCAGCGATGCAAACTCCCATCATAAGAATGAAAATTGATGTTGATCGTAACTCTTTTTGAGTCAAAATCAACAAGTGGAAAATGTTCACAAGAATAGTGAAAAACTCGAGAACAATATTCACTTCGTTCGAACGTCTATAGATTATTCCATAAATATCCGGACAATCCCATTCAAAGCAATCTTTTTCTGGTATAGAACCATCATAGTAGTAGTCCAAGTACTCTTGGTAATCAGCTATACTTTCATCAGTAATATTATAGTCAGCCATATTTAAATAAACTGTAAAAATTCGTCAATTGATAAGAAGAATGTGACGAATTTCCAACCAAAAGATCGCTTTTATAGTCTTCTTTTTGACAAGAAACACAAAGAGAAAAGTGGCGATATTTCTAGTTTTTGGTGCGAGAAAATTAGGGTTGAACAAAACACACAAGATTAGATTTTTTTGTTCTTGGTGTTTTGGGAGAGGAGGACCAAACTAAAAACGTAAGAATTTCTATGTGGCTCATTCGTTTACTTTTTCTCTAAAGTTTATGGACATAAGAACTTTCGAGTTCTTAGTATGACTCTATGAAAATTTTCATTTTAAATTCTCATCATTTTGAATCTCAGGATCGGACGAAATACATACAGTTCAATTTTAGACTTGTATTGATTTTATTGTGTTTTTTAATCTTCAAAAAAGGACAAGAAAAAAAAACAAAAACAAGAACAAACAATTATCAATTATCATCTCTGACCCAATTTTGGAAATTCGGAATCATCCAAAAGCGCTGAACTGCATGCAGGACACGTTCTCTTCGTCTTGAACCACTCTTGAACACACTCGGTGTGGTATCTTCTGTTACAGCACTCGCATTTGATTGTTCCTTCTTCCGACTCCATTTCCTCGATGCAGATCAAGCAATCAGTGTCAGCTAGCTCTCCTGGTTTCACTTCTGGAGTCTTCAGCAGCGATTGGCAAATAATTGGAACTTCCGACTTGACGACATTCATGTAAGCTTTTCGGAATCCTCGAGAAAAAGCCGGAAACTCTGGGAGCTCTGGAATCTCTTCTAGCTTGGTTCGGTAGCTTCCACGGATCATTTTCAGCTGTCTGTCTACTGCTCGAATGTAGATTTTAGCTTGCTCACAGAACCGGTAGACTTCGACTCGTGTAGCATCTTCGATTTCCTTGTTCTTCGCATTCATGGATAGACGATGACCAAGTTCTCTGCATTTTCCAATTGGGTTTCCGCTTCGAAGGGTTCCTTGGATTTCTAGAAGTTTGAAAAGGATATCTCTAGCTTTCTCAGTCTCATCGGCACTTCTAGTTGGTTCAATAATCCTGACTTCTGAAGATTTGTCTTTCTTCTCTGCGAGAGATTTTTCAAGATTCTTGATGGTTGTTGACTTCTCTTGAATAATGTTGTTTTTAGATTCCACCTCCATCTCAAAATTCAAAATCGTGTCTTGCTTTGCAAGTAGATCTATGTTCTGCCTTTCGATGATGTTATCCTTGGATTTTATAATTTCCTCTAGAATTCTGATTCTCTCATCTTTGTCCATTCCTTTCTGTTTCTGAATCTCAACTTCCAGCTCTGCATTTGCCAACTCTTTCTTCAGATGCTTACACTCGACTTTGGAAACTCTCAGCTTCTCATTTGCCACATCAGCAAAATGACTTGCTCGGGAGCACTTTGGACAAGTTTGGGATTCCTTTGAGGCTTCTGGCATTCCTGGTTCTGGAGTGGAAGGGGATTCCGATGTAGCTTGACTGGTTTTTTCAGACTTCTTCGTCTTTCTGGATCGCTTCTTTTTCTGGATCTCAGTTGAAACTTCTTGTCTCTTTTCTTCAACGATGACGTTATCTTCTTTTAGTGGCTGTGGTACCACGGAAACGGTAGTCATTTCCATCAGTTCCTTGATCTCTTTTTCGGTTCGCGACTGGACATTCAGAAGCTGCTTCAATCTCGGCATCTCACACATCACACATCCCAAATATGGAACCCATTTCATGCACATCTTTTGGCTGTGCAGAAACTTAAAAAGGTTGGGAAGGTTTTCCAATAGAACTGTCATTTGGCATTGAAAGACGGCGGAGTGCATATCTTCAAGCTTCAATGTAGAATTTCTCTCTTGGGTGATTACCTTATAGGCCCATTCAACCTCTCGCTTCATCTCGGGGAAACAGTTATAGAGATTCAAGTACTCGAGTTCTTTATCCAAATCATCTTCTGTGAATCCTCCTTTTCTGACCTTCCGAATATGTTTGACAGGTGCTGACGATTTCAAATGCTCTTCATATGTCTTCTCCCACTTTGCTTTGATCCATTCCACATCGTTCAAACTGATAAAAAAATCACCTCCTTCGACAGGGAAGATGATCTCCATAATCTTGAAGAATTTTTCAATATGCACAAACTGGTTTCGATCGATTCGCTGCAACACTTTCTTGGCCACAATCATATCACTAATCAGATCGTAGAGAGCATCACTGGAAGGGACACAGTAAGTATCATCTGGCGCTGGGATTGGGATGGAAGTGACCGTGGATTCTCTGTTGTTAATTCGAATGAACTGAAAAAAAAGAGACATGTAGCAGACAGACATGAGATGTAGCAGACATGAGCGGAATAAAAATTTTGAAAATCCGGAATAAGGAATAAGGAAGAAGGAATGAAATTTAAAAATCTGGAATAAGGAATAAGGAATAAGGAAGAAGGAATAACAATTTAAAAATCCGGAATAAGGAATTCCGCTCATGTCTGATATGTAGTATGCACTTATTAACTCTTACCTCAATGTTCTTCATGTCTTCAATCTTCCCCTTTTGAGCGACTTCTCGGAAATTGAAAGTTGCCAAGTTAGTCATTTGAAGAATTTCGTCCTCGAACTCTGATACATCCATATTCTTATTTTTCATCGATTGGAGGAGCTCATGAGCCATAACATAAGACTCCTTTCCAATCTTGAACAATCTGACAGTAGCTTTGGAATCATCAGCAGAGATGAAACTCTCCTCCAAGATACTTTTAAATTGTATACCAACGGTTGCAATCCAGGAGAACATTCGAGCGTAGAAAGTCTTGTTTTTTGCAATTGGATATTTTTTATCGAAAGATTTCAAAATTTCATAGCATCCATCTGTAGACTCGACTTCGATCGTTGGGTTGGAAAAATCCGGCAGAGGAGGCACACACGTTCTAGAGTTGCAGGACAATGCTCTCGAGTGCTTAATCAATTCGTCAACGTAGTTTTTGAGAGTTCCAACGTCTACTCTGATCATTTCACAGTTTGAATTGAATCGGGATCTCCATTCGGCTTCGAAACACTTCAGACGACTCTTCATAGCCAATCGAACCAGGTCAGCTTGCCAATCTTTGAATGGACATGGAATGGGGAGAGAAAGAAGTTCAAGAACTTCTGTCTTGTAGATATATTCACCTCCTTTGATACTGTAGTGAGTTCGAGGCAATGTCATGTAAATTCCATCAAATTGGAGCAGATTAGCACATCCAGGTGCAGCAAGGAAGTTGGCAAGTGCTTGGAAAAGTGTGTTAACGTTTTCGAACATTCCTAACTTGCCACGGGAGTATTCCAGAAGGGACTCGAGGTTTTCGTGGATATCCGATCTATCGCATTTCCAGTCGACTGGGATAAGCTGAAAAATGTATACATAGAGTTAAGGATGAAACTTGAGAACCCTTGAACTTGTATTCTCAAACTTTCAAAACCTAAGAATTTGAGAAATCTCTGTAGAACCTTATTGTTAGAAAGTTTTTAAATAAATCTCTTATATAGATCTCACAAACTAACCTCTTTCGAAATACACCGCTGCACTAATTTCTTCACATTCTCTGGCGACAGCACGATATTCTTACGGACCAGGGAAAGCATTGTTGGTTGAGCTGAGATCTGAAACTATAGAAGTTAAGAAATGGTCATCAAAAAACCAAATTAGGTCAAATATGGGTACGGTGTTGGATGGAAATATGGAAGACAAGAAGAGAGAATAGCCAATCACCAACTGAGTAACTGAAATGGAATGAGAATGAATGAATAGGAAGTGTTTCCTACTTTTACATCCAAAAGGGGCGGAGCCGTACATCTTTGGGGTTGAGCGTCCAGGTGGGTGCGTCCAGGATTTTGAGATGGAGGTGGAAGCTACATCATTGATTGACAGGTAAAGAAGAACAGTAATATTTAGTGACCATATAACTGGGTAAGTAGAGACAATAAGACATTTTGACTTCAGGGAATGAGTCAATTTTATAGATGTTAAGGGCTCCTGGGAAACTTGGGGGGGGGGGGGTTTCGGTATCCCCTCCGGGGACCTACCATGCCCCTCTAACTAATAGTAAGTAGGAGGAGTTCTCATTGACCCAATTTTTATAGGTTTCAATAACATTAAAAAGTATTCCACTAATGAAATGTTCATCATAAATGATCCAAAGGTTCATCATAAATGATCTAACAAGAACAATTAGCCCTTTAAACTTTTTTTATTTTCGTTCGACTACCGTTTACAGGAACCAAAATAAATAGGTCTTTATTATTAAGAACATCAAGAGTTGATAATAAAAACCTGGAAAATTTAGATTTTTTAATTTCAGGATAAATGAAGGATAACCTTTAAGGAGCTGAACCGAACATTGCATCTATATCCCAAACTGAAAGTTCTTTCTGAGATAAATTTTCTCCCGCTGAATTCATCTCCTTTTGAAGCTTCTCAAAATCCGCATCAAATGTCTCATAAGTCAGCCATCCACACTCCTTCTTCATCACCGATTTCATACATTCCTTGTCATTCAAAAAATTGGCCAAATTGGTTTTTGGAGCATTTATGATACCGGCTCCTTTTGTCCATTCCTCACTTTTTGGAATCTCTTCAACACAAGAGTATTTCGAAATGTTGACGTTTTGAACAATCATGACTAGGCATTTTTCGAATTGTGTTTGATTTCTAGGAACTGCTGCTGAAGATTCATCTCGCCAATTTATAGTTTTCATCATTTCCTCGTATTCTCTGGTTAGTTTTCGAATTTGTTGATCAGAGAAGTAGCAGAATTCATTCATACAGTTCTGAAAGTTATTGATTTTTATGAGCGTAGTCGTTCAATGTGTTCGTTAGAACTACCCAGCCATCTTAAGATCTTATTTTTTTTCAATTTTCTTTAGCTTTTCTCTAAATGATTTTTCTAGGCCACCGTAATTGATGGTTCAGAGATATCCTAACATGCACCTAGTGTTTTTTTGGTCATTTTAACATGGTGGCCTAACTTTTGCAAGTTGAATTTTATAGGCCACCAACTTTTATGATTCAGAAATGATATGATATTAACATAGTGCGTTTTTCGGTCATTTTGACATTGGCCTTACTTTTGCAATTTGAGTTTTTTAGGCCACCAGCTTTTATGACCTGAAATTCAATTAGTGTGTTTTAGGCCGTCTTAACATGATGGCCTAACTTTTGTGTTTTCATTGAATTTTCTAGGCCACCATTTTTTATGACCTGAATTCACCTGGAGTATTTTCTAGATCATTTTAGCATGGCGGCCTAACTTTGGGAAGTTAGATTTTCTAGGCCAACAACTTTTTATGGCCAAGAAATGACCTGATTCATCAGGATCAGGTGTGTCTTGTAGGTTATTTTGACATGATGACCCAACTTTCGCAAGTAGAGGTTTCTAGGCCGCAATGGTAAATACCTATAAATTGAATTATATTCACCTGATGTGTTTTCTAGGCCATTTTACCATGGTGACCTAGAAAAATCATATTGACAAATTTGGGCCACCATGGTCAATGGTCTAGAAAACACATCGGGTGAATGTTAGCTTACTTCTAGGTCATTCGCTACAGTGGCCTAGAAAACTCTTCTGCCAAAAGTTAGACCATCATGTCGGCCAACGACATACGTTTTCTAGGCCGCGATAGTTTTAGTTGCAAAATAACCGATTCTAAAACGTCTAGTTGCGAAATTGCCTGGTTCGAAATCCCTCTTTCACATAATAACTCACAAAGACATCCCGATACATTGGGGTAATTTCACTATCGTTTCTGGTATACGCGTATCCTTCCCTCTGTGCAATTACCCATTCCTCATGAGCCAGTTTAAATTCATAAGTCTTTCTTTCACATAGCATTGCAATCAACTCATCGTGAAAAGAGCCACAGTAGAATTCTGTATCGCTATCCACAGTTAGCAATTCCACCAGCTTGTCGTAATGGTTTTTAAAGTAAGCTCGGGGCTTTTCAGAGCAATTTGAGTTCAAAAAAGTTTGTGCGCAAGCTTTTCCAGATGTCCATGCAGTCTTTTTAGCTTCTGGGTCCTTCTGAAATAGTTTTAGATTTTCGAAAAATTTTACATGAAAATAAGAGAATAAGGTTTACCGAAAAGTAGTCATAATCTTTTGTACAGCTTGTATTTTTACCAATTTCCTCGAAAAAATTCGCAAGACAATATTCGTAATCATAATAATGAGCTTCCAACCGATCACACCGATCCTTATAAATTTTCCCAGCAGTTTTGACATCCGTACATTTACTTTGTTGAAAGCAACTCTTAAATATTTCTAAATTAAATTTTTTTAAAGTATTGCAAAGTCACATTCATCTCATTGCACATCCTTGTCACATTTCTCGCATATTCCAGGGATACAGTTGTCAAAAAGGATTGATCAGTGTATTTGGACAATTCAAACACATATTCGGAGCATGTAGCAATGGAAATTATGGATTCTAGAGCTGGACAATCTAAGGATCGAGTTGGAAATCTGGCGGTTAGAAGACGTCGGTATTCTTGCTTAGCTTCGAGTGGTTGGTAATTGTAGAAGAGTAATAAAGAAAGAAGTAGTAACATTTGGAAGTTGAACATGAAAAATATGAACCTCGAATAATACAAAGTGCGTGCAGTTTGGAAAAAGGTTTTTTATCGTGATCGGATTAATCTTTTTGACTATGAACTACGTATGATTCACATATTGGACAACTTTTGTGTCTTTTGCGAGTGCTGGGCTTCTGATCCCTTTTCAAAAATAGCTGTCAGTTTGGGGCGACATTAAAAAAATAATTTTCTCAAAATTCCGGTCATATCAGGAGTTGAACTTGTCAGCCCAATGTTGGAGGTGCCGGGTCGCTACCAGCTGAGCTAGGGGACGAACTGCGCTGCCGAAAATGTCATACGTGAAAGCGGAACGATAGCAACAAACTTACTACCGATCACTGTACACCGTCACTTCAGAATGCATACCGTAACTTCCAAGAAATATATAAAAATATATTTATGAATGAAAACTTTCTCACACCACAACCAAAAAATACAATTACTCATCAATCAATTCTTTCCATAGTGTCTTCATTTGGTGTCGAGTCGCTTCCCAGCCTTCCTCAAATATTGTAAGACTCATCCAACATTCTTGTGTCATCACCAGTTTCATACATTCCTTATCTCTCAAGAATCCGGTCAGTTTTACGGTAGGAGCATTTTCATCGACAGTTCCACTTTTTTGCGGAGTTTTACGAATACATTTATACTTGTCTGCGTCTATATTTTGAAGGATATATTCAATACATCGATCAAACTCTGATAGTGTCTTCGGTGCCAATGGATAGTCGGAATTGTAGTTCACAATGTCTTCGGAGAGTTTGTTCAGGTATTCATACTGTTCATAGGTGTACTTGCAATACTTTCGGTAGCATTTCTATAAAACTTTTGTATACAGGGTGGCTAATAAGTATTTGGTTTTCTGTTTTGGAGTGCCCTGCAAAAAACATAGTTGCAAACGGCAGATAACTCGGCTTCAGAACAAGAGATTTTGACTGATTTGATATCAAGTGATAGATCTCGACGAGGTCTATCTTACCTATATCACACGAGTCGGCTTCGGGTCCATTAAAATGCCGCGGGGCGGGCTAGAATGGCGAAAAACCCGATTTTGGCAAATTTTGATGTCCTACTTTCAAAATATATCGAAAGTTTTCCAAGATTGGTCTTGGCACGGTGCCAGGAGCTCGCGCAAAAGAAAACGACATACTATTAGCCGCCCTGTAGTTATTCCGAGGCTTCTATCTCGGTTCCTGTAAGAGATGTATTGAAAAGAATTCAACAGACAAAATTTTTTCTGAAACATATTATTTAATCAATTTATCAGTTGACGACTTTTTGATATCTTTTACAGGAACTGATAGTGAGATGAATTGAGTTAAGTTATGTTTTCTTACTCTGGTTTCTTCTAACATCGGTTCCGTCTCATTTTTCTCATATGGCTTTTTCATAAGTTTCGCCTTTTCAAGTTCGCGCTCTAAAAACGAAACCGCATATTGATATCCGATACATTGATAACTGTTCAATTCATCATACAATGAATTACACTGGTCCGGTCCATCATTGTCAATTGTCAAGTAGTTGACCAGCTTGTCGTAGGACTGTTTCAGATATTTGTTAGATTCTGGCGAACACCAAAGATTCGTAAAACTCAAGAAGCACTCTTTTCCTGATGTGAAAGCGTTTTTTCTGGTATTCATGTCGCTCTGAAAAAAATGGGGTTCGAGGAGGGAACGGAAACTTTGATCTACCGATGTATAATTGTACAGTTTCGTACAGTTCGTTGCGCCCGAGTATACTTCGTAATAAAAACTTCTCAAACAGTCTTTCATTTTATAAAGAACCATTTCGTTTTCATCACATTTCTCCTTATACATTTTCCCGGTCTTTCGTACATCTCTGCAGTTACTTTTTTCAAAACAGTTCTGGAAAAAGGTATCTGTGCAACCATTTTTTATTTTACCACCTCTATACTATCGCACAGTTTTGTGACATTGGCCAAACTTGACTGAAAACTTCCAGAATATGTTTCACTGAGGTAGACTGCTGATTGATGGACGTATCGAGAACAAATTCCGATGGAAATCATGGATTCTTTTGATGAGCAATCATCAGAGGTGGTTGAAATACCGGGAGGAAACAGTTTGTTTCCATTTGTCGATGTAAAAAGAAATAGTGAAACAACACAATAAATGAAAGGTAACATGCCAGTGGAATGTGAACTTTTTCGCGGGGGATCTGTTTCAAAAGTGGCAAACTTGATCCTTCGGCGGATTAATCTTCCGACATCACATCAGACTACAAAGAAGTGTGGTAGATAGGAATAGTGAGTCATGGGTTGAGTTCGAACGAGTTTTCGAAAAAATAGTTCGAAAGTGTTTCTAAAATCACACATTTCGGTTTCTTGTTAGAAACAGAGTAGCCTAACTTACTTAACAGCTTACTTAGTAGGCCACCGTAACCCAAAAAAGGCGTATCGTGCACCTGAAGTGCGTTCTGAGCGATTTTAACATAACTCTTGCAAGTTAAGTTTTCTTGACCAACGTTAAAAATTGTTCTCTTGAGATTTGTTCTTTCGGAATTACGGAATTTATTTTAATGTGATGGTGTACAGTGATTAGTGACAATCTCATCTCGTGACTATCGTGCCGCTTCTATGTAGCGCATAGTTCGGCCGATAGCAGTGCGGCACCTAAAACGGTAGTACCTCGAGTTCAAGTCCTCGAGGAGTTTATAAGAAAAAAAATACCGAGATAAGTATTTTTCATGTCTACCTCCTTACAATATATGAAAACATAATTATAAATCAAAACTTTATAAAATCACCAAAAAAGTAAATCACTCATTTATCAATTCTTTACATAGTGTCTTCATTTGGTTTCGAGTCGTTTCCCAACCGTCCTCAAACGTTTTTGAACTTATCTGACATTCTTCTGTCATCACCAGTTTCATACATTCCTTATCTCTCAAGAATCCGGTCAGTTTTACGGTAGGAGCCGTTTCATCGATAGTTCCACTTTTTTGCGGAATTTTACGAACACATGTATACATGTCTACGTCTATATATTGTAGGATATAATCGAAACATCGATCAAACTCTGATAGTGTCTTCGGTGCCAATGGATAGTCGGAATTGTAGTTCACAATGTCTTCGGAGAGTTTGTTCAGGTATTCATACTGTTCATAGGTGTACTTGCAATACTTTCGGTAGCATTTCTATAAAACTTTTGTATACAGGGTGGCTAATAAGTATTTGGTTTTCTGTTTTGGAGTGCCCTGCAAAAAACATAGTTGCAAACGGCAGATTACTCGGCTTCAGAACAAGATATTTTGACTGATTTGATATCAAGTGATAGATCTCGACGAGGTCTATCTTACCTATATCACACGAGTCGGCTTCGGGTCCATTAAAATGCCGCGGGGCGGGCTAGAATGGGGAAAAACCCGATCTTGGCAAATTTTGATCCCCTACTTTCAAAATATATCGAAAGTTTTCCAAGATTGGTCTTGGCCCGGTCATCAGTTGACCGCTTTTTGATACCTTTCACGGAAAACTAGATAAACCGTCTGAAAGTTGAGAATTAAAAAAAAATACTAAAAATTACAAGCCATAGGTTCTCCAATTTCGGGAAACGATTTCAGTACACTATCCAAATAAAATAAAACACCAGATTTATAAATATGAAGCACAGGCATTGTGAAAATCTCGATGAATGCGTACAAAATCGAATACATCGAAAATAAAAACATGAGCACTCGATAATTACCTAAAGCCGAGTTGTTAAGTTTTTGGATCAAATATAATAGAAGGGAATTTGAAGTAACAGCTATTGTGAATGCCGCAATTTGACAAATACGGAGAAGCGATGTTACTAGCATACTTCATAGGATAAAATGATTTAAAAAAAAGAATATCAGAAACAAAGTCTAGTTTTCTATTTGTTGTTAATTAAGTTAACTCTCTTGAGAGATTGGAAAATGAAGTTGTTTATGGAGATCAGGAACTAATACTGGGATACTTCATACAGTTTTCTTCGTGTTTTATAATACTGATAATTGGGTTCCTTTTTCTCTGGAGAATACTGATAAAACATACATCCCGTCTGAAAAAATACGCATGACAGGAAAAGGAAAAGTAACATCAGTTTTTACATAATTTCCGGTACATCAACGTTTTTTTTTCGAATGATCAGTCTGAATTTTTCATTTCTGTCAATTTGATTTCCCTTTCCAAAATTTCCGAATAGCTACCGTACCGATCAATAAGATATACAAAAACGTATTTTACAGTTGATTTTCGGCCATTTTCAGGACTCTGGAGCTTAGCTGTCAAGATTTCAATGACTTTGAAAACTTTGGAGGGTGTAAAACAGACCTAGATTGAAATCTTTGCATTCACAGAATGTTTTGAAAATTCCTAGTTTTCGAGTTGCTTCAGCTACTTCCCCATTTCTGAAAAACCCTTTTTTTTAATTGGAAATTTGATAGCTGAACTCTCCAAACCAACTGTCAAAAATGTTTTTGTATGTCTTGTTGAATGGTACTGTAGGTGATTTGGAAGTTTGAAAACAGATTTCTCGGGGCGATCAGCAGCTCAGCTTTCGCCACCGTAGCTCAGCTGAGCACGACACGGCACCTCCAACTGTGGACATACAAGTACAACTCCTCATATGAACAATTTGAAAAATTATTTTTATCTTTCAAAAATTCATTTTCAAAAATCAAAAATCTGTTTTAACAATTTAATTTTTATTCTCCTTCTTATTCACAATTTCACTTGTCCACTTCCATTGATTATCAAAATCCACCAATGCCTCCTCAGGGCATTCCCCAGTCATCACTTCCTTTGCACAATCTTTATCCTTGAAAAAATCCAATCCGCTTTCTTTTTGTATACAAGAATATACAGTTCCGTTCAGCTTTTGAGATAATATACTTTTCATACACTCGAAAAAGTGCTCGTTCACATTGTCCATTTTTTTCAGCTCTTTACAGACAGTTCCAATCATTTGTTCCATTCCTTTTGGGAACGTGCAGGAAGTTTTGAAGCAGTCCTAAAATATATACAGATTTTTTTTTGGAAATCTACACATGTACAGTACATTTTGGCTGGTACCGTGAGCAACTTACATTCAAAACCATACAAGTGATAGTTTTATTGGTTTTATCTTGCTCAAAAAAGTCGTAAACTTCCTTATACTCGGATTTCTTGTCCTCTCCCATCGGCATAACTTTTCCAAAGAAACTAAAGGTTTGTGTAAAGAGGGTACTTATCGGTTGGTTGCATTTCAAGTCGTTTAATTCATAATGAAGACCTTCGCATGCTGGACCATCGGGTTTTTGAGTCAACAGGTCCACAAATTTGTTGTAGTTTGTAGTTAGATAGTTTTGTGATGAATTGGAGCATTCGATGGAAGTGACTTCAAAAAAACAGGATTTTCCGTTGAGGTAGGCATCTCGTTTGGTGGATGGGTCGGTCTGGAATATAGAGAAGTTTCAGGAAATCTTGGAAAATTAGAAAATTCCAGAAATTCAGTGAAATTCTAAAGTTCCGAGGAGTTTAGAAAGTTCGGGTAAATTCCAGAGAATTCCGAAATTGAACACTTCTAAAACCCTAAAATTCAGAATTTCCAGGAACTTGAGAAAAACCGAGAAATTCCGAAATTTCAAAAATTCTGAAATTCTTACGTTCCCAAAATCTAACCAAATTCCAAAAATAGGAATTACCAGCATTCAGAAATTCAGAATATTAGAAATTCTTTGATTCTTAGATTTCAGGATTCAGAAATTCTGAGATTCTCGAAATCTGAGATTCTGAGATTCTGAGATTCTGAGATTCTGAGATTCTGAGATTCTGAGATTCTGAAATTCTGAGATTCTGAGATTCTGAGATTCTGAGATTCTGAGATTCCGAGAATGTACGTTTCTGAAAATCTGAAATCCTAAGGTTCCGAGATTCTGAAATACAGAAAATTATAGAAATTTTCAGAAATTCGAAGGCTTCGAAAACTTTTAAATGTAAGAAATTAAAAATGACGAATATCAAAATTTCTTTGAAATTTCGCAAACTCAAATTTTACAAAAAACAAGATATTCAAAAATCAAAAAAAAAGAAGAATTCCAGAAAATTCAAAATTTCGAGACAAGTCAAATTTGTAGAAAAATAGTACAAATCCAACTCACCGAAAACCATTCAAACTCATTTGTACAATTATATCTCTCTTCATAAATTGCCCCATAAAACTCAGCCATACAATCCTTGATTCCAGTATTAAAAATACTCCAATTTTCAAATTCCACTTCAAAATTCATTTTTGATTCCAACGCTTCTTGGCATCCAATCATTTCGTAGCATTCCTGAATATTTATTTTTTGAAAATTCCAAAATCCAAAAATGTCTTACCATTATATTTTTATACAGGTCTGTCATGTTCTCTTTAACATCTTCCGGTGGAATTTGTCCATCATACTTTTCGAAATAAGAGTCTAACAGTTCTTCTATAGCTCCACACTTATCCTGAGCAATTTGTCTATCAGACGGCGTGCAATTTTTCAAGATTTGGATACCAAAAGTATGATTAAATACATAAAGACATAGGATGAATAGAATATACATTTTTATTGAAAATGTGTCAAAAAATTTTTTGAAAAAATTGTATTCCGGTCGAATCGGATTAAGAACATTTTATTGATTCGAAAATCATAATACAATCTAGTTTATCGAAACTGTAGAACTTTCCAAATCCGCATTTTCAGATTCCTCGTCTGTCTGAAATACATCCTCACACAAATCCTTTACCAAATTTTTGTCACATTCAGGAAAATGGTTTCCGAAAAAGTTTGTTCTTGCATTTAAAGCTGAAGACTTCTTGACTCGATCGATACAATCCCAATTATCATCATTGCTCAGCTTATAAAGTTTCCCATACAACGCATTGGATTCTTGAACGTGTTGTGGGTATTGGCAACAGTTGGAAATGCACTCCTGGAAATTTCCTTTTTTTTTGAAAAAATCAAAATATCAGCTTTTAAGAAATTCTGGATTTCCGAATTTTCAAAAAAAAATTTTTTCCAAATTTCACAATTACAAATTATTCACCAAAGAATCCTGCGTCAATTTTGAAAATTCGCTCAGCTCGATTTATCGATTTATTGCTCTAGATTCTTACCAGAGCATTATCACACAAGTCAATCAATTCCAAGACTCGACTATCATTGATTTTTGTGTGTCTTTTTTGTAAAACTGCATCTTTCAAACCCAGATCATCCATTAGCGGTTGGCATTTTATAGCATTGTACTTGAAATGAAAATTCTCACAATCTGATTCGTTTTTAGGCTTTTTGGTTATCACATCCAAGAAGTCTTGATATCTTGTTGATAGTAAATTGTACTGCGAAACCGAGCATTCCTCTTCAGCGATTTGCAAGAAACAAGATTTTCCAGATTTAAAAATTTCAGAAGTGGAGTTTTCCTGAAATGAAAGAAATTAAGTTCAGAAATTCAGTGATTCAAAAATTGAGAAATTCAAAAAATCAGAAATTCAAAAAGAAGGTGAAAAATCGAGAATTCAGACATTCAGAATTCCCGAAACTCGTAGAAACTTGGGAATTATTAAATTCCTAAAATCCGATGTTTCTGAAATTCAGGAATTCACCGATTTTGAGATTCTGAGATTCTGAGATTCTGAGATTCTGAGATTCTGAGATTCTGAGATTCTGAGATTCTGAGATTCTGAGATTCTGAGATTTTGAGATTCTCAGATTCTGAGATTCTGAGATTCTGAGATTCTGAGATTCTGAGATTCTGAGATTCTGAGATTCTGAGATTCTGAGATTCTGAGATTCTGAGATTCTGAGATTCTGAGATTCTGAGATTCTGAGATTCTGAGATTCTGAGATTCTGAGATTCTGAGATTCTGAGATTCTGAGATTCTGAGATTCTGAGATTCTGAGATTCTGAGATTCTGAGATTCTGAGATTCTGAGATTCTGAGATTCTGAGATTCTGAGATTTTGAGATTCTGAGATTCTAAGATTCTGAGATTCTAAGATTCTGAGATTCTGAGATTCTGAGATTCTGAGATTCTGAGATTCTGAGATTCTGAGATTCTGAGATTCTGAGATTCTGAGATTCTGAGATTCTGAGATTCTGAGATTCTGAGATTCTGAGATTCTGAGATTCTGAGATTCTGAGATTCTGAGATTCTGGAGTTCTGAAATTCTGAGATTCCGAGATTCTGA